TGGGGCTGTACCCTGGTGGAGAGTTAATTCACATTTAAGTGAATGTGAATTTTTTTCATTAAAAATATCCTTTTGGGGCTTATTTTATTGTATGGTATGAGTGTGGTGCCTGCATGTATATGTACCATGTATGTGCTTGGTAGTCTGGGAGGTCAGAAGACAGTGTCATATCACCTGGAACTGGAGTGGCAGAAGATTGTGAGCCACTGGGAACTGAGCTAGGGTCCTCTGGAACATGTTCTTATTGCACTGTCTCTCCAGTCCCAGTTCAATACCGTGTCTAGATGTTCCCATCCATTGTTCTGGGTCTGCAATGCAGGAAGATGTCACCAACTGTGGAGTCGGGACCTTAGACTACTTCGTCTGTACAATTATAAGAAGTAAACTGATGGGCTTTCTCTCTCCCTCAGTGACCAGATTAAAAGTAGATACAGGCAGTCTTATTAGGAGGCAGCTCTCAGGTCTACTGATCTCACAAGCAGAGGTCAGTGAAGTCACACATCTGGGCTAAAGCAAGGGGGTTTTATAGAGCTCCGGGAGGAGTGATGAAGTGTCAGCCAGGAGCTGAGATTGTGTCCATATATGGTAAAAACTGCGATCCTGGGCGGGCACTCTTGATAGGCTGCCAGAAACCTGTAGCCAGGGAGTGATAATATACCCTGCAGGGGTAGGGGTGGGGGTTCTCTGTCCCAGCCAGTTAATGGCAGGAAGGAGGGCAGACGGGCTTTACCAGCTTGAACAAGGATGAGCAGGAGGTCCAGCCTTCCAGTCTAACACGAACCTCTATAAAAATTACTAAATTTTAGCCCAACATGGTGGCACATGCCTTTAGTCCTAGCATTTGGGAGGCAGAGGCAGGAGGATCTCTGTGATCTATACAACCAGCCCCAGGGCAGCTAGGAAAATATGCAGACCATGTCTCAAAAACAAAATGACTAACTTTTGCAATTTTGTCACGGCAGAAGATGAGCTAGCACAACTGAGACCATGTCAGACTGGAAAGCAAAGAAAGGAAAGTGAAGTGGATTCTATGGTTGCTGACATTTGGACCGGTTAATGAGAGAGGAGATGAATTTTGACATGATAGAAGACCATGAAGTACAATAATTTAAATATTTAAATAAAGTAAATATTTAAATTATAAATAAATTTAAAGAAAATTTATCTTTGATGCTTAATTAAAGGGTGTGAGTACCGAGCCAGGAGACAGGTTCTGGGTTTGAGGGCATAATGAGACCCTCTCTCAAAATACCAAAAATAAATAAGACAATAAATTAAGTTTTGTGAAAATAGTCTTATGAAATAAATATGGGTACAGAAAAGTAATTCTGTGTATACATTACAAGACGAGCATGGTGGTGTTCTGTCTAGTAAGCTGATGTCTGAGGAAGTGGTCTTCACGATCCTTTTCTCATGACAAAGTAACTTTGTTTATAGCTTAATTAAGTAACACATCAAAGAATTGGATTGCAGACAGATTTTTTCAGTCTGTAAGGAGGTTTGGGTCAGTTTGAACCAAGATAAATTATTGCCAAGGAAACAGCAGCTGGTGGGAACTAGAAACTGGGAAATCTTTATTCTTCTTTGCCTTTAAAAGAAGCTGAAACTTTGAATAAACTGTGCATTGGCTGACATGGCTGTGTGCCCTGTTGATGCAGCTCTACTGTTGGGACCCAAACACAGGTTGACAGTGGTGCACACCTGTAATCTCAGCCCTTGGGAGGTAGAAGTAGGACGATCAGGACTTCAAGATCATCTTCCACTGCATAGGAAATGAGGATATTCTGGGATACATGCTACCCTTCCTTTAAAAAAAAAAAAAATCCCTAATTTCAAAGAAGAAACTGAAACACTTTCATTGCCTAAATTAGGAAATGGAAACGTTTGCACAATGCTAAAACCAATTGAGGACACGGTGCATACTGGGTAACACACTGGTAATCTTCCCTCCCCTCCCCTGTTATAGGGGTTGTTCACAGGGTCTCTCCTACATGCTCTACCAGCACTCTATCATGGAGCCACATGCAAGCTCATTGGTAAATTATTTCAAGACAGACTCTCACTGACTGGCCCAGGTTGCCTTCAAATTTGTGACCCTCTCCCTTAGTTAATCTAAAGTAGCTGGGATTATAAGTATACACCACCACGCCTCATCTATCTATCTATCTATCTATCTATCTATCTATCTATCTATCTATCT